GCGATAGACTTACCTCCACGTGGTGCACCCTGGACAACGTATCATCGAACGGCAAAAGAGTCTATCACTCGGTATTCGATTTTGACTTCGACTTTTTATGATATTTACAGTTGTCGGCCAAATTTGAAGGCATTTGTATAACTTTTTATTCAAACTTGTGAACAGAAATATCTTATGCTTCCTAAAGTCTATTTCTTGTGCAAAATTGGGTTAGTTTTGATTACTGAAGCCCGAGCGCTTCTTGAGTACGATATGCGACTTTATTTAAGATCATAAAGAAGACGAAAATGTAACGCCCCCATTTTGCATTTGTCAAATAAAAAATTATTAAGTCCCACCTACAGCCACGTTATTCTTTTTAGATATTTTGCTTCGCGGCTAGTTTGTTGAAGTGGTTTCGAGCAGAGCAGCAACGTACAGACATGTTAGCACAACTAACGGAGGCTCAAAAGCAACCACGCAACAAGGGAACTCAAAACAGTAATGTTGGAAAAGAGGAAAATACCGAGGAGACGGAACAGATTGATCAAATTCAGGTGGTATCGAAATTATCGTCAAGTGATCAGAAGAGAGATGATCCCCCGGCGGCTTCTACTGAAGGAAAAGAAGGCGAAGAGGGTGAGAAGGAGAAGGAGGATAAAGCTGCATTAAATCCTACACCTATGGTATGAATGAGCCACTTGAAGCTCAAAAGTGTGTTTTTTCATTCGGAGGTTAAGAGAGTATTTAAAGCATCTAAATTCAAGAATTAATTTTGGAGTCACGAATTAATCAGACTTCGGTTTTTACAACCGCATCAACTGAGGCTTTCGCCATTTAATTATTGCCATTTTAATTTAGAATCTGACAAAACCCTGCATTCTCAGAATTCCTTTCGCAAACAGCACCCAGAAGAAGCTGGCTTATAGTTTGGCATTCTCAACCATGAAATGTAAGCCTCAACCTTATGACCGATTGTTTGCTCGTTAATATCTACTTTTGTTGGTATCAGTAGAAGTTATGTTTTGTCATCTCCGTAGACTGTACTGTACTTGAGAAGATTCAAGAAGATGTTGGCTTCTACGGTGAATATCCAGACTTGCGTGAAGAGGACCATTTAGTGCTAGTTACATTATATGATTACTCAGTCCGGAATTTTCAGCTGAGAACTTCGACGGATTTGGACGCAGACATACCACCATTGGATGAGGCTGAGGCCTCGAAACCTAGATTTGCTGGACGAACTATTATTTATCCTCCATCGTCTAAGGTTTTTCAGGTGGGAAGGTTATTCCTCCACTTTTGATTCATTTTGACCAAAGTGATATCGTGTTTTTGATAGCCTTTAACAATTGGAAACAGTTAAATAATGATTAGGAAAGACGGTAGCAAGTGTAGTTGATGACAAAATTAGAAGCCATAATACTCTTACTTAATTAGAATAAGTCGAGTTACATAAATGCACTTAGTGAATATGGGAAGAGAATCGCATACTCGTCTTTTAGCTAGACAGTACTTTGTTGCGTCATCAGTCCTTTTATGTGATTGTTAACAGTGCCTATGACAGTCCGAAAGTCCCTTAACAGTTTTAATAATTTAAAACATTCAAATAACTGGGCTTATAGGTGAGTTAAAAGGTATGAAGTGGGTAAAGGGGCTCTGAACAAACAGGTAATGAGATCGGGATATCCTTTATTGCGCTTTTTTAGTTATTGAAACACCGAATTTTCTATGCCATAAGTATAACACAATTTTCAATTTTTCAGTTTAATGGTCTGGCTATATCCAGCACACATAGAGCTTATAGTGTAGTTGGTTGTTGCTCGAATTATTCATTCCGCCTGGACATATGCCCATCTTGCCACCGTCGAGAACAGGCGGATTATTTCACTAATTAACTTCAACTTAACTTTAACATTCCAGGAGGTTGAAGAGGCCATTGTCGCAATGTCAGTCAAATTTTCAGCCGCAATAGCTCGAATCAGAGTCAAAGAACAGGTGAAATCTCTGCGCCTCCTTCTACCTTTAGAATGGCGCGATGCCGAAACAAAATCCGAAAACATGCCCTTCTATGGATGGTATAACCTACTACTGGGCACGTAAGTACAAAATTAACTGGAGACTATTTTATTTAATCTTCTATATGTTTACCTCTATTCGTAAGGTCCGAGGTAACTTTAACGTGGTTGAAGGAGAACAACTTCACCCATATCAGAGGACGCTTGCCCACTGCCATGGAATTCGGTGACGATGAGGATTGTTCAGATGTCTTCATTTTTAACCATGCTGACCGTGCAACTATTATGGATTCACCTATTGTTCGTGATCAATTTCTCTTTGTTCAGGTGAAAATATTTTCAAATCGGCTAAAAGTTGAATTGAAACTTAATGTCAGAAAATATTGAGTTTACTGTAAAAAAACTGGACCGACTGTTTTCAGTCCCAATCAAACTACATTTGGCATCAGTGAATTTTAACATTATTTTTTCTTTTAATCAATAATTAGACATTATGACTATGTTGTAGAGGAATCGTAAATTGATTTATTTATAATTTGACTTTAGTTACCCCATTCCTTACATTCTAGAAGTTTCACATGAAGCCTATTGGCAATCACTGAAGTTTTGACTAAACATCAGCACCCGCTATAGCAAAATAGCGCAGTGCGAATTTGCTAAATTACTTCAATAATACAAAGGCAACATGGTGTATGAAGTGAATGCCGTTTATGCTGGTAGTGTGACAGCCACAGAGTTTATTCGTTAAAATCCAATTACAAATACAAATACAATAATGTAGCAACTATTGATTGCCGCACTCACGACTATACTTGCTCCCTACGCACTCAACAGCATGGCTTCGCCTTTCAGTCTAGTCTGGGACGCATGAGATTTCTTTGTTCTCCTTCGGTAGCGTTGTGCCTTCCACACTTCCTTAACTTTTAGAACTCAATAAAAATCTTGGTAACTTATATTATGTCATGTTTGGATTATGAACTTAATGGCCGAATTTTGTGAACTTACTTTACCAAGAAAGAAAGGCTATTTAACAAAATGGACATATCTGTCGTGAAAGTGAGAGCTCTGCACAGATTCAGTCTTTACCATAAACAAATGCTTTTACTGAAATTTAGAGAGCATTCCTTTGAAGTTTAACCTTCAAATCCTAAAATTGGTGGAGATACATGTTTTAAAGAGCCAAGGTTACCTTTCTTTTGAACTTAATCTCATTTATTTAAATGTCCATGATGGCAGTAGAATACATGATAGAAAGATCACACAGTTTTACTGACTTTGCTCGCTTTAGACATTTGAACGAATCCCATTATGAAATTTCTTCGGTTATTTTTATTTCAGGACAGAAGTAATATCTTTGTTTTGCATTGTCTCATGAATTTCATTGGTGCGGGAGAGGAAGTGATTTTAATCAACCAGCCCAACAGTCTTTGTGGTATTCATCTTGAAGGTCTGCTCATGAACAGATTTCCCTATTCATCACCCGTACCCACGATTCGAATTGTCAGATCAGTCAAAGAGAGTGAGGATTCAAAGCTGGCAGTGAAAAGCGGATGCAAATGTAGATCGCTCTTTTTTAAGCTTATTTTTCCTATGGAAAAGTTCAAAATTAGAAAACGAGAATATATTATGTCTAGCTATACGTCTTATCACCGATGACTTCTTATCGTTGAATCCCAACGCTGAGAGCTACAGAGGCATTCGGCATATCATTATTGAGTCAACGGACATGAAAAGTGGAGTGGTCAACCCAATAGATTATGTTGATTTTGAAAACGAAGGTAATTTTGCTTAAAATTTGGTGGCGAAAAGCAATAGTTCTAAAAATAATATCAATGTCAAAAAAGAAATTAGGTTAAAATTTATATAAAGTAATTTTCGGCTTTCATGGACAATGTGTATTATTAGAACTATTTTGTTGTTGCATAAAATTTCTCGCATAATCATTGTTAATATTTTATCATATTTTTGAAATTTCACTCGTTTCAATAAAAAACACTTCGGTGTTTGTAGATCTGTCAGTGCTCAAGGATATGTGGACTAAAAACGATGATCCCCAAAAGGTGACCAAGCGTCTAACGCTACTAAAAAAGAACGAAGCTTATTTGAAGCATGCTTTGAGATGTAAGTGGCACATATTTTAATAAGTGAACGATGATTTGGTAAGATTGTTTCCACCACATTCTCTAATGTTAGTCAATCAAGCAAGGACCGTAATATTCATCAGTCATTCTGAAGACCTGGAAGAAACTGAGAAAATGGTGCTTAAATGTGTAGACTACGTCAATAGAACAATACAGCGGGAGATACTATCAGCGATACCTTCCTCTAAAGCTCCGCCCCCGTCAACTCCGGGTTTTGTCATTCGTTTGCCGACTGCCATACCGAGTCTTAGAGGTTTTGAATACGGTGAAAACAATGCGCTCACTTCCCCCTTCGTTACCCCTTCAGGTTGCATTCGATTTAAATCCACGAAGAGCTACAATGGATTCTTTATTGCTTGTCTCAAGAAGGAGGTGAATTTTTTGTTGTATTTCCTCAAAAATTACTTGAATTGACAATTGTGGAATGGATTAAAAATCAGCCAATCAAATCATTGTGAACTGATCATTAGCATTTAAGTCCTCTGGCCTCAGTGGCCACCTCACGATAATGTTGCAATTGATAGAGTGAATTAGCAAGGATGAGAAATCTGACTAAATTGCCTCTTATTTGTATGAGCAGAGCTTGCGTGAATTAGGAATTAGAATAAATGTTGGTCCAGAACGTGGAAGAACAGTGGCCATTGACTACGATGAGATATATTCAACCAGAATCCCATGCTGCTTTAGGTGACAGTGACAACTGTCAGAATGGTCGGTTCCTCTCAACTTTCTAAAATATATGTCTCTTACTCCACTATTTAAGTTTTTGTGCAAGTTTTTATTAACTTGACTTCTTTAATTACGATCTACTTAGACTGCCCCCCCCCCCCAAATTTGTTGTCTCCAATTGCATTCACACTGAATTAGTTTAGGATGCAAAAAGCATCATTGATTTACAATGTTATTCAATTTAAGCAAATACTCGTCACTCAACCAGAAGAACAAGTGCTAGAAAAACGTTTATCTTCTGAAACTTTGAGGAGAAGCAAAGTGATAAAATGTGAGTTTATCTGGCGATGTTTTAACATACTAATTAATTTGTATTACACAGCTATTCTGGGTCGAACTGTTTTACAGAACGATTTCACCTTATGAACTTATGATTTATTTTAGGAAAAAATGAGCTAGTGTATAGGAGAAAATCCGTATGCCCCCAACAATGAAAACTCCTGCATACTCAATGGAGTCGGATGTTTCATTAACTTGTTTACTGTCGAGGTCAATATTGCAAGTCACTGAAAATAAAAAAATAGTTTACTATATATGTTTTCAAAAGCTTATGGAATCAGCAAATTGGGTTTTCCGGACACTAAACAAGACATTAGTACAAATTATTTAACCAAATTAAACGATATCGTTGGCAAAGAGTTCACTCTGAATTGACCCATCTGTGGCGAATTGCTACGCTAGTAAAGCCTGACCGACTCAGAAATCTCTATGGCAGATTCTCCTACATCTAGCTAGACTCCCAGAACCAGCTAAGCTATAACCCAGCTATGAAAGGAAACAGACGTGTAGCACGGAGCACGTTTATTCAACACGAGTATTGCGGATAAAGTGTACACGCAGGGAGCTTAATCATGATCAGGATGGCGGATTAGGTTAAACAAACAGTGGTTAATGATCGGTCACTGTTTGTACGGTCGCACCTCCCAATCATGGCGTGCAGGCATGCGATGACGTGCCCACACATCTTAAGGAGCTCTGCTAATGAGTATCTTGTGAGATTGCTTCCTCTCTCAAGACGGAACTTTTTTAGCGTAAAAACGGCCAAAAAGAAAAAAACCGAGCACCCAAGTGACGAATTGTCGTTGACTAACCACAGAGAATAATAATTAAATGGCACATTTTTGGTACTTTGACATTGCTCCCTTCCCATTTGTCATATGATGGACAACATTAATAATATTACCCTTGGTAAATTCCAGGTATCTTATTATCCTCGTCTTTACTTTAGTTGCTAAGCAATGCGACCAAATTTTAGCGACCATATGTCATTGTACGTTCATCAGCTTTCATTTTACAAGATTTA